AATTGAGTATGCACACTATCTTTGGAGAAGTGAACACAAATTTGCCATAAATATAAGTTACTATTTTATAAACACAACAGTTGAGTGAAATACATTTTGTAAATCGGACGAATTGTTTAAATAAATAAAACCCGTTCGCGTGCAGTAATTTAGATCTACATATATACACATAATCTAAACATTAATGTAATTGCATTTTGTTCTATTTTAATAGTCCGTCCGTTTTATTATCAGAAAAGTGTCGTAAAGCAAATTAAGTAAAGATGTATTATACATGTCTTCTAATCAAAATGCAAAATTATATTGAAACAAAAGCATCATCAAGGCTCTTGAGAAATTGTTGTATAAAAAAAGGGTTTCTTAATAAGTTGTGTTATTAAACAAATAGAAAATAAATCATATAAATTTTAAAGTTAATGACCCTATTGAAACTTGTGGTCAAGTTGGTCGAAATATTTGAAATTAACATTATCTCTTTCATCAAAATATTAAAATTTTTAAAATACTGCATTTTGTTTCTCAATATTTCAAAGAATTTCAATACCCATGCTGTACACTTGGAACTTCTCTTAAAAATCAATACATATTAATGTTATTGAGTAATTTCTTAGATGTTTGCTGAGAAATGCAATTTTTAAATATAACTCTTTTACTCATTTAAAAATACTTTTTTTAATCTCTTAAAAAAATCTTAAATATTTGAATTATTGGCTGTGTTTATATCGAAATAGTAAAGGTATGATATCAGTGATATTAGTCATGTGTCTTGCCTACCTTCTAACAAAGTAAAAAGTCCATATAAACAAATATAAACAACTACATGTATTATAGTTTTTTTTCTAATGACAATAACATTAGAACTGTTATCAAAACACAATTTTAAAGCTGGGGAATTTGTGTTAAAAAGAGAGAGAGAGTTTATTTTTAATGTTTAATTAAAAAATAAATTAAGATAATTTATTACGCGAATATTAATACAAATTTTGCAAGTCATACTGTTATGATTACATATTCCATATTAGAATTTGTAAAATTTTGATAAGTCAATTTATGACTCAAATCGATATGGATTTCTTAGGAAAATATTTTTTTCAATAAATACGATAATTTACTAAACCATGAATTTCTATTCTATAGTGCAGGCTATAAACTATATACATCATATAGCAGACTATTATATAGTCCAGACTATAGACTATTCTATAGTCCAGACTATAGACTATTCTATAGTCCAGACTATAGACTATTCTATAGTCCATACTATAGACTATTCTATAGTCCAGACTATAGACTATTCTATAGTCCAGACTATAGACTATTCTATAGTCCAGACTATAGACTATTCTATAGTCCAGACTATAGACTATTCTATAGTCCAGACTAAAGACTATTCTATAGTCCAGACTATAGACTATTCTATAGTCCAGACTATAGACTATTCTATAGTCCAGACTATAGACTATTCTATAGTCCAGACTATAGACTATTCTATAGTCCAGACTATAGACTATTCTATAGTCCAGACTATAGACTATTCTATAGTCCAGACTATAGACTATTCTATAGTCCAGACTATAGACTATTCTATAGTCCAGACTATAGACTATTCTATAGTCCAGACTATAGACTATTCTATAGTCCAGACTATAGACTATTCTATAGTCCAGACTATAGACTATTCTATAGTCCAGACTATAGACTATTCTATAGTCCAGACTATAGACTATTCTATAGTCCAGACTATAGACTATTCTATAGTCCAGACTATAGACTATTCTATAGTCCAGACTATAGACTATTCTATAGTCCAGACTATAGACTATTCTATAGTCCAGACTATAGACTATTCTATAGTCCAGACTATAGACTATTCTATAGTCCAGACTATAGACTATTCTATAGTCCAGACTATAGACTATTCTATAGTCCAGACTATAGACTATTCTATAGTCCAGACTATAGACTATTCTATAGTCCAGACTATAGACTATTCTATAGTCCAGACTATAGACTATTCTATAGTCCAGACTATAGACTATTCTATAGTCCAGACTATAGACTATTCTATAGTCCAGACTATAGACTATTCTATAGTCCAGACTATAGACTATTCTATAGTCCAGACTATAGACTATTCTATAGTCCAGACTATAGACTATTCTATAGTCCAGACTATAGACTATTCTATAGTCCAGACTATAGACTATTCTATAGTCCAGACTATAGACTATTCTATAGTCCAGACTATAGACTATTCTATAGTCCAGACTATAGACTATTCTATAGTCCAGACTATAGACTATTCTATAGTCCAGACTATAGACTATTCTATAGTCCAGACTATAGACTATTCTATAGTCCAGACTATAGACTATTCTATAGTCCAGACTATAGACTATTCTATAGTCCAGACTATAGACTATTCTATAGTCCAGACTATAGACTATTCTATAGTCCAGACTATAGACTATTCTATAGTCCAGACTATAGACTATTCTATAGTCCAGACTATAGACTATTCTATAGTCCGGACTATAGACTATTCTATAGTCCAGACTATTCTAAAGTCCAGACTATAGACTATTCTATAGTCCAGACTATAGACTATTCTATAGTCCAGACTATAGACTATTCTATAGTCCGGACTATAGACTATTCTATAGTCCAGACTATAGACTATTCTATAGTCCAGACTATAGACTATTCTATAGTCCAGACTATAGACTATTCTATAGTCCAGACTATAGACTATTCTATATTCCAGACTATAGACTATTCTATATTCCAGACTATAGACTATTCTATATTCCAGACTATAGACTATTCTATAGTCCAGACTAGAGACTATTCTATAGTCGAGACTGTAGACTATTCTATAGTCGAAACAGTAGACTATTCTATAGTCGAGACTGTAGACTATTCTATAGTCGAAACAGTAGACTATTCTATAGTCGAGACTGTATACTATTCTATAGTCGAGACAGTAGATATTCTATAGTGGAGACTGTAGACTATTCTATAGTCCAGACTGTAGACTATTCTATAGTCCAGACTGTAGACTATTCTATAGTCCAGACTGTAGACTATTCTATAGTCAAGACTCTAGACTATTCTATAGTCCAGACTATAGACTATTCTATAGTCCAGACTCTAGACTATTCTATAGTCCAGACTATAGACTATTCTATAGTCCAGACTCTAGACTATTCTATCGTCCAGACTATAGACTATTCTATAGTCCAGACTATAGACTATTCTATAGTCCAGACTATAGACTATTCTATAGTCCAGACTATAGACTATTCTATAGTCCAGACTATAGACTATTCTATAGTCCAGACTATAGACTATTCTATAGTCCAGACTATAGACTATTCTATAGTCCAGACTATAGACTATTCTATAGTCCAGACTATAGACTATTCTATAGTCCAGACTATAGACTATTCTATAGTCCAGACTATAGACTATTCTATAGTCCAGACTATAGACTATTCTATAGTCCAGACTATAGACTATTCTATAGTCCAGACTATAGACTATTCTATTGTCCAGACTATAGACTATTCTATAGTCCAGACTATAGACTATTCTATAGTCCAGACTGTAGACTATTCTATAGTCCAGACTGTAGACTATTCTATAGTCAAGACTCTAGACTATTCTATAGTCCAGACTATAGACTATTCTATAGTCCAGACTATAGACTATTCTATAGTCCAGACTATAGACTGTTCTATAGTCCAGACTATAGACTATTCTATAGTCCAGACTATAGACTATTCTATAGTCCAGACTATAGACTATTCTATAGTCCAGACTATAGACTATTCTATAGTCCAGACTATAGACTATTCTATAGTCCAGACTATAGACTATTCTATAGTCCAGACTAAAGACTATTCTATAGTCCAGACTGTAGACTATTCTATAGTCAAGACTCTAGACTATTCTATAGTCCAGACTATAGACTATTCTATAGTCCAGACTCTAGACTATTCTATAGTCCAGACTATAGACTGTTCTATAGTCCAGACTATAGACTATTCTATAGTCCAGACTATAGACTATTCTATAGTCCAGACTATAGACTATTCTATAGTCCAGACTATAGACTATTCTATAGTCCAGACTATAGACTATTCTATAGTCCAGACTATAGACTATTCTATAGTCCAGACTATAGACTATTCTATAGTCCAGACTATAGACTATTCTATAGTCCAGACTATAGACTATTCTATAGTCCAGACTATAGACTATTCTATAGTCCAGACTATAGACTATTCTATTGTCCAGACTATAGACTATTCAATAGTCCAGACTATAGACTATTCTATAGTCCATACTAAAGACTATTCTATAGTCCAGACTAAAGACTATTCTATAGTCCAGACTAAAGACTATTCTATAGTCCAGACTATAGACTATTCTATAGTCCAGACTATAGACTATTCTATAGTCCAGACTATAGACTATTCTATAGTCCAGACTATAGACTATTCTATAGTCCAGACTATAGACTATTCTATAGTCCAGACTATTGACTATTCTATAGTCCAGACTATAGACTATTCTATAGTCCAGACTATAGACTATTCTATAGTCCAGACTATAGACTATTCTATAGTCCAGACTATAGGCTACTCTATAGTCCAGACTATAGACTATTCAATAGTCCAGACTATAGACAATTCTATAGTCCAGAATATAGGCTATTTACAGTCCAGACTGCAGACTTCTCTATAGTCGACCTTTTGATCGACTAAGGAATTTAGTCAGTTAAAGAATTTTGAAAAAATTAACCATAATACATTGCAATGTATTTATTTCCAGCTAAAGAACTCGATTTGCAAAGAACCTAAATGTCGAAAATTTTTAAACAAATTATTTTTGCAATTAAAATTAAGTAAAAAACTGACCCAAATAATTTAAAATAAAGTTTTTGTATATTCTATTAAAACAAAACTAAATTAAAATTTAATTTTCTTTCTTTTTAGCTACTAACCGAAATTAGGTCTTTCTTTAAGTTCAACAAACAATTAATTGAAAACAAATTTCTAAAAACTAATTAAAACATGTTATATTCTGTAATGTTTTATTTAACAAATATACCACGTTTACATTTATGGGCCTATGCCACCCTGGCATATGTTATATATTATTTATTACAAGTAGTTAAGGTAAGATTTTCTTTAAAATTTAACCTTCCCCAAAACTGAGACTCAAAATTAATTACTTGCAATTTCAGCGTCCAATTGTAGCCTGTGCCGATGGACCATTTAAAAAGTTTTTATATAATAATATACCGACATTAGAAATGAAATATTGGCCCACATTTTGGTGTTTTGAAAGTCGAGCCCAAACAGTATTTGCTAGTATTATAAGATCACAAGTATTGCCAAAAATTAATTACAGAAGGTGAGAGTTGTTGGTTTATAATTATTAAACATTTTATTATAATTTTCTTTAATCCTTAATTAGAGAAATTCTGGTTTTACCCGATGGTGGTGAAGTAGCTTTGGACTGGATGGAAGACGGTTGCAGTAAAGATGGTCCTTGTGTTATTTTACTACCCGGTTTAACGGGTGAATCTCAGGCTGAATATGTTAAATGTTTAGTGGTTGCAGCCAAACAGTCCGGTTTGCGTGTGGTAGTTTTCAATAATCGTGGTTTGGGTGGTATTGAATTGAAAACTCCCCGCTTGTATTGTGCCTCAAATTGTGAAGATCTATCGGAGGTGGTTAAACATGTGGGTAAAACTGTACCCAAAGATAGACTGGGTGCAGCGGGTATATCAATGGGTGGTCTTATATTGGGCAACTATTTGGTGCGTAAAAGTGTGGAGGCACGTACTTATTTGGCAGCCGCTAAAATTATTTCTGCCCCATGGGATGTACACAAAGGTAGGGGAGGGAGCTTTTAATGTAATTTGTGAATTTTAATTGAATGATTTTATTTTGTAATTTCAGGTACCGCCAGTATTGAAAAGCCTATTTTAAATAATTTATTGGGTAGACATTTGACCAACAGTCTGTGTAAGACTTTAAAAAGTTGTGAAATTTTTAAAGATGCTGATATTGATATGGACAAAATTTTAACGGTAAGTTTAAGGATGGAATGTCTTCTATAAAATCTTGTGTATAGAAGAGTGTTTTCTATAGACACTTACCTATAGAAGAGTGTCTTCTATAGCCACTTGTCTATAAAAGAGTGTCTTGTATAGAAATTTGTCTATGAAAGAGTGTCTTCTATAGACACTTGTCTATAAAAGAGTGTCTTCTATAGACACTTGTCTTTAGAAGAGAGTCTTCTATAGACACTTGTCTATAGAAGAGTGTCTTCTATAGACACTTGTCTATTGAAGAATGTCGTCTATAGTCACTTGTCTATTGAAGAGTGTCTTCTATAGATACTTTTCTATTGAAGAGTGTCGTCTATAGACACTTGTCTATAGAAGAGTGTCTTCTATATACACTTGTCTATTGAAGAGTGTCTTCTATAGACACTTGTCTATTGAAGAGTGTCTGCTATATACACTTGTCTATAGAAGAGTGTCTTCTATAGACACTTGTCTATACAAGAGTGTCTTCTATAGAAACTTGTCTATAGAAGAGTGTCTTCTATCGACACTTGCCTATAAAAGAGTGTCTTCTGTAGACACTTGCCTATGGGAGAGTGTCTTCTGTAGACACTTGTCTATAGAAGAGTGTCTTTTATAGACACTTGTCTATAGAAGAGTGTCTTCTATAGACATTTGTCTATTGAAGAGTGTCTTCTATAGACATTTGTCTATTGAAGAGTGTCTTTTATAGATACTTTTCTATTGAAGAGTGTCTTCTATAGACACTTGTCTATAGAAGAGTGTCTTCTATATACACTTGTCTATTGAAGAGTGTCTTCTATAGACACTTGTCTATTGAAAAGTGTCTTCTATAGAAATTTGTCTATAGAAGAGTGTCTTCTATCGACACTTGCCTATAAAAGAGTGTCTTCTGTAGACACTTGCCTATGGAAGAGTGTCTTCTGTAGACACTTGTCTATAGAAGAGAGTCTTCTATAGACACTTATTTATAGAAGAGTGTCTTCTATAGACACTTGTCTATTGAAGAGTGTCGTCTATAGACACTTGTCTATTGAAGAGTGTCTGCTATATACACTTGTCTATAGAAGAGTGTCTTCTATAGACACTTGTCTATAGAAGATTGTCTTCTATAGAAACTTGTCTATAGAAGAGTGTCTTCTTTCGACACTTGCCTATAAAAGGGTGTCTTCTGTAGACACTTGCCTATGGAAGAGTGTCTTCTGTAGACACTTGTCTATAGAAGAGTGTCTTTTATAGACACTTGTCTATAGAAGAGTGCCTTCTATAGACACTTGTCTATAAAAGAATGCCTTCTATAGACACTTGTCTATAGAGCAGTGTCTCCTATATACACTTGTCTATAGAAGAGTGTCTTTTATAGACACTTGTCTATAGAAGAGTGTCTTCTATAGACACTTGTTTATAAAAGAATGTGTTCTATAGACAATTGTCTATAGAGCAGTGTCTTCTATAGACACTTGTCTATATAAGAGTGTCTTCTGTACACGCTTGCATATAGAAGAGTGTCGTCTATAGCCAGAAGATATTTTTCAATAGACAAGTGTCTATAGAAGAAACTCTTCTATATACAAGTTTCTATAAAAGACACTCTTTTATAGATGGGTGTCTTCCATAGACTTGGCAGAGTGTAATTTGTAGTTACTGGTCAATAGAAGAGCACTTCTAAAGCAAGTTTCTCTAGAAAAGAGGAATTTTTAGAGGACATTCGGCTTTAATGTGGAATTGAACTTATTATGATTTTTTTCTTTACAGTGTAAAACCATCAAAGAATTCGATGCCTTATTTACATCAAAACAATTTGGCTATGCCCACGTAGATGACTACTACTCCGATGCTACACTACACAATAAACTACACTACATTACCGTGCCATTGTTATGCCTTAGCGCTGCTGACGATCCATTCCAACCCCTCGAAGCCATACCCATTAAGCCAGCCGAAGAGAGTACTCATGTCGCCATAGTTGTAACCGCTCGCGGTGGTCATATTGGTTTCCTGCAGGGATGGTGGCCGTCATCGAAAGAAGAGTATATGGGACGTTTATTTGTAGAATATTTTACAACTGTTTTGTGTGATAAAATGGATGAATTTAAAAAAATAACCAGCGAAATGTTTGAAAAATATGATGAACGAAAGTATTTATTTCCCACTGAAGAACTCGATAAGAAGGTCGATATGAAAATATCCTCATCGTTTTTGAATTCGGAACAATTAGAGGAGTTGTGCAAGGAAATGTAGTTTGATAACAATTACGCAGTTACTTGAGAAGAGTAACATTTTATTAAGAAGGTCTTTTTTTGAACGAAGCAAAAAAAAAAAAAAATTAGAATAATTTTGTAGTAGAATTGGTTTCCTGCTATACATATACTCGTACTATATACAAAATGTTACTTAAATTAGGTTGTTATACTAAATTTCTCATTTTAATGTTTCGCTCTGAATGATTAATATTTTTATTGTGATAGGCAGAATCGAAAAGAATTAAGACATTTTTAAGCTAACTCTCCCTCTCTCTCTCTTTCTCTCTACTTCATCTTATTTCAACTTTTCAGCTGCATTAGATTTTATGTAGTTCATTTTAGGGGCATTAGACATCGATCAAAATCCTAATAACATAGAGATTTCGTTCGATCTTGGAATATCCTAATTTGTGCTGTGTTTATAGATTTTATGTTAATCTTTAAAAATCATATTTTCACAAATATCTTTTCATTTTCTACTTTACATATTAATAATTTATACTTTCATATGGACTGTAATTTTGTGATACTTATGTCCTTATATCGTGAAAAAACTATATAATTTTCATTCCAAAATAAGTCACATAATCAAATTTCTTTTAAATTCTAGTCAAAAATTTTTGTAGTTTATCAAATTTCGCATAAGTATCGTATCGTATTTAAGATTACGACATAAGTAATTAGTAAGATAGAGATAAAAATTGGCCATTTTTTAATTATTAGAACGTAATAAAACTGTTTTTTATCGTAAAGTGATAATTATATACATAGTTATATCAAATTGGAAGTTTTTTCGATAAGTTATCAGAATTATATAGTTTGTAATAGATATTTTAAGAATACTTTATTTATTCGCTGTCAAAAATGTATTTCGAAGCGTCAAATTGATTAAGCATTCCATTAAATTTTTAACAAAGTTATAAAGTACTTGAAGGGCAGTAGTCGAATTATAGCAATCTATAGTGTCTTCTATAGACACTGTCCTATATAAGAGTGTGTTCTACAGACACCTGCCCATAAACGAGTGTCTTCTATAGACCCTTGCCTATAGAAGATTGTATTTTTTATATACTTCTCTAAAGATGAGTGTCTTCTATAGACACTTTCCTATAGAAAAGTGTCTCTATAAACACTTGTATAGAAGAGTACTTTCTATAGACAGTTGTCCATGGAAGAGTGTCTTCTATTGACAATTGCCTATAGAAGAGTGTCTTTTATAGAAACTTCTTAATAGAAAACTGTCTTCTATAGACATTAGCCTTTAGAAGAGTGTCTTCTAGAGTCACTTGCCTAAAGAAGAGTGTCTTCTGTAGACACTCTCCTATATAAGAGTTTCTTATTGACACTTGCCTATAAAATAGTGTCTTCTATAGATTTTTGCCTATAGAAGACCAGCTTATATAGTCACTTGCCTAATGAAGGGTCAACAAAAAATTCTCCTATAGAAGACCAGCTTATGAAATTCTTATATAGACATTTGTTTATAGAAGAATGTCTTATCTACACATTGGCCTATAGAAGTGTGTTTTCCATAGACACTTGCCTATAGAAGAGTTCCTTCTAAAGACACTTGCCTATAGAGAAGTGTCTTCTATAGACAATTGCCTATAGAAGAGAGAAAATTCTCCTATAGAAGACCAGCTTAAAAAAATTCTTCTATAGACATTTGTCTATAGAAGAATGTCTTCTCTATACATTCGCCTATAGAAGAGTGTTTTCCATAGACACTTGCCTATAGAAGAGTTCCTTCTAAAGACACTTACCTATAGAGGAGTGTCTTATAAAGACACTTTCCTATAGAAGAGTGTCTTCTATAGACACTTGCTTATAGAATAATGTTTTCTATAGACCCTTGCCTATAGAAGAATGTCTCCTATAGACACTTGCCTATAAAAGAGTGTCTTCTACTGACACTTTCTATAGAAAAGTGCCTCTATAAACACTTGTATATAGAAAAGTGCCTTTTGTAAACACTTGTTTATAGAAGAGTACTTTCTATAGACCATTGTCCATGGAAGAGTGTCTTCTATTGACAATTGCCTATAGAAGAGTGTCTTTTATAGAAACTTCTTTATAGAAAACTGTCTTCTATAGACACTAGCCTTTAGAAGAGTGTTTTCTATAAGCACCTATAGAAGAATGTCTTCTATAGACCCTTGCATATAGAAGAGTGTCTTCTGTAGACACTCTCCTATATGAGTTTCTTATTGACACTTGCCTATAGACGGGTGTCTTCTGTAGACACTCTCCTATATAAGAGTTTCTTATTGACACTTGTCAATAGAAGAGTGTCTTCTATAGATTTTTGCCTTTAGAAGACCAGCTTATATAGTCACTTGCCTAATGAAGGGTCTACAGAAAATTCTCCTATAGAAGACCAGCTTATAAAATTCTTCTATAGACATTTGTCTATAGAAGAATGTCTTCTCTACACATTCTTCTCTAGACACTTGCCTATAGAAGAGTTCCTTCTAAAGACACTTGCCTATAGAGAAGTTTCTTCTATATAAGAAAAATTGTTGTTTTGAAATTTTCATTTCCGATATTTATGGACCGATTTTACAACATTTAAATAAAAAATACTTGAAAGCATGTGTAATAGAAAGATTCAAGATGTGTATTCAGAAGATATCAAGAGCCCTTACAAAATTGCTTCAAAAAACATACGAATTGCTAACGATTTTAATCCAACCAGCTTCAAACTAATTTTTTGACATTTTCAATTACTAAAAAGATATCACTTAACATTTACAAAAAAATTTTTAAAAATAACATACAAACATAACTTGCCATTTTAAAATAAACATTAACTATCAGGTCTGTCACACATTCCGATCGAAATGGTTTCAATTCCGTATTATTATTCCGATCATTTTTGTTTTAGCTTCTCCAAATTCCGAATTATTTCGTAAATTGACAAAAAATGAATAAAATTATATAGATTTCATTTAAAATTGTTCTTGTTTAGCTAATCAAAACAAGAACCATGTTTTTAGTAAAGGTTCTTATTATTAAAACTAAGAAAAGCGTTAATTACATACAAATATCAATTCCACTTCAAAAACTGAAAGTGGTTTCATTCCGAAAGAATTTTTCGTTTTCTTTTTTAGAAGAAGCAAAAATACGGAAATAATTCCACTTTCGATCGGAATGAAATTCTGTGACAGGCCTGTATAACTTAATATTAACTAACAATTAAACTCAATTTTGTGCAATTACTAAAAGCTGCAACAAAACAATTAATTAACCAAACAGTACCTTTTTTTAAAAATAAATACTTTAGCAATACACCAAAAAATAAATATATAAAAAAAACATTTTTAATAAGTAGAATTTAGCAAAAAAAAAAAAAAAAAATCAACATTTTAAAAATACGTATAAAACTTAATTAGTTAATGAGACAAAAATTATTAATTTTTTAGCACATATCATTATTAACGAAATAGTAAAAACACAAACAATGTGTGTGATTAACAAATTGAAAAAAAAGCTTTAAACAAAAAGTCATTTTTGCAAAAAAAAATTAATAAATAAAATCCTGCTTTTAACATAAAATTAAAATAATAAAAAATTAGTTTAGATTTTAAACACTTTTTTGAAATATTTAATTAATATTTACTAACAAATTAATTTAAAATGTAATAACAAATATAAAGTATTAACAAAATAACAAGGCTGGGAAGGTTACCCTATAACATGTTGCGATATTAAAATATTTTCTATCGTAACGCTTTACAGAGCAATTTCCCCGTTTATCTAAAAAAAACCTAAAATATTTCTAAAGCAAAAATTTATAAGAAATCCTTAAAAACTAATTTAAAAAAAGATTTTTGTTTTTCTTATAAATATTTTAGACGGATTTTTTCGTTTGTTATAGGTAAACATACCCTAATATGACATATAACAATAAAATTGTGTATTATTGTATTATATACTACTTAATAAAAAGAAAATAAACAAAATATTTAATAAATAAATACAAAATCAGTTAACAAAATAAATTAAAGAACAATTTCAATCGTTTAAAAAAAGGAACAAGTGTTTAATTTTAACATTAAAGAATTCTTAATTTATTTATCTTAATGTTTCAACTTTAAAATCAAACCCTGGGTATTTATTCAAAGGCTTAATTTTTGGACTTTACATTCTGAACTACAACAGAACTAGAACTGAACTAGACTTGAACTAGAATTGACTTGGAATTGAACTAGAACTGAACTAGAACTCACCCAGAACTGAACTAAAACTGAACTAAAACTGAACTAGAACTGAACTAGAACTGAACTAGAACTGAACTAGAACTGAACTAGAACTGAACTAGAACTGAACTAGAACTGAACTAGAACTGAACTAGAACTGAACTAGAACTGAACTAGAACTGAACTAGAACTGAACTAGAACTGAACTAGAACTGAACTAGAACTGAACTAAAACTGAACTAGAACTGAACTAAAACTGAACTAAAACTGAACTAGAACTGAACTAGAACTGTACTAAAACTGAATTAGAACTGAACTAAAACTGAACTAGAACTGAACTAGAACTGAACTAGTACTGAACTAGAACTGAACTAGAGCTGATCTATAACTGAACTAGAACTGAACTAGAACAGAACTAGAACTGAACTAGTATTGAACTAGAACTGAACTAGAATTGAACTAGACCTGAACTAGAACTGAACTAGAACGGAACTAGAACGGAACTAGAACGGAACTAGAACTAAACTAGAACTGAACTAGAACTGAACTAGAACTGAACTAGAACTGAACTAGAACTGAACTAGAACTGAACTAGAAGTGAACTAGAGAGAACTAGAACTAAACTAGAACTGAACTAGAACTGAACTAGAACTGAACTAGAACTGAACTAGAACGGAACTAGAACGGAATTAGAACTGAACTAGAACTGAACTAGAACTGAACTAGAACTGAACTAGAACTGTACTAGAACTGAACTAGAACTGAACTAGAACTGAACTAGAACTGAACTAGAACTGAACTAGAACTGAACTAGAACTGAACTAGAACTGAACTAGAACTGAACTAGAACTGAACTAGAACTGAACTAGAACTGAACTAGAACTGAACTAGAACTGAACTAGAAATGAACTAGATCTGAACTAGAACTGTACTAGAACTGAACTAGAACTGAACTAGAATTAAACAACAACTAAACTAGAACTGAACTAGAATTAAACAACAACTAAACTAGAACTAAACTAGAACTGAACTACAACTAAATTAGAACTGAACTAGAACTTAAATAGAACTTAACTAGAACTCAACTAAAACTGAATTAGAACTGAAACCGGAATGAACTAGACTGAACTAGAACTGAAGTAGAACATAAATAGAACTGAAGCAGAAATGAATTAGAACTGAACTAAAATAAATGAAATGATCTTGAACTGAACTAGAGCTGTAATATAACTGAATTAGAAGAGAACCAAAAATAAACAAAAACTGAATTAGATACTTTAAAAAGCCAATTTTTTTTTTTTTTAAATTAAATAATACTTAAAAACTAATTTAAATAAAAAATAAATACATTTATGTTTATAACACCATTTACATTATTTTTTATTAATATTCACTTGTTGTAGAAATACACCAAAACTATAAACTAAATTAAAACATTATTGCAACAGATCTGAATAGAGTTAATATAGTAACCAATCAATGCAACATTAAATAAATATATAGAGTAAAATAGTTTTTTTTTTATTAAAAATTTCTGGTTTGAATTATATATATCTTTGTTAAAGTGTATTGTTGCTGCTCTTTTGCATTTAAATAGGTTTATACAACAAAGTGGTAACATACTTCTTACGATAACGATGTGTAGCACTCAAAACCATAACACCATCTTTAATCGATAATGCATATAAATGATTTAACATAACATGATTCGGTTCAGGCAATAAAGTCGGTTCACACTGTTGAAAATATGAAAAATATTAGATGCGCTTCAAAAGTCATAAAATAGATAGACTCACCGACAAAGGAGTATCCTTATTCAAAATAACCTGCAATAGATGAGGCGGCAATATGGGTGGACCCGATACCTTTTCCCATGGTTTAGATTGTGGTACATCTTGTGAATATTCCTTGTCGGCATTATTGACACAGTTTTCACTATCTTTAGCTAATGCCTGAAATACTTCAAAATCCGATTGGCGAACCGAAACTAAATTCGTCTTTTCACCAACATCATTTTCCACGCTTTTCTATAATTACAAATGTATACAATAACAGAAAAATTTCACAGTTCAATACTATGTAAAATGATAACAAAAGGAATTTAAATTTATTTATTTACAAAATTATTTGTTGTTTATTAATTTTGTTTGCTCAAAAAAAAACTGAACGAATTGTAGACAGTACATACGAAGCTTCTCTTTTCCACCCGCCTATATATTAAAGTTGTTTTATTAAACAATTAACATTGAGTGTTATTTATTAAAAAACAGTGGTTTCTTCAGCTTAAAAATATATGGAATTCCCAGAACCATTACGCTCATATAAATAAGTATAAAAAATAAACTTATTTTAAAATCTTATTCACAACTGTATTATTAAAGAAACACAAAAATACAAAATACTTTTCATTTTGTTCATATTATATCAGAGACTGAATATTGTATCAAGTTCTAGTTCAGTTTTATTTCAATCCTATTTAAGTTCTATTTCAGTTATGCATATTTGATATCTATTTGGGATCTATTTCAGTTCTAGTTCAGTTTTAGTTCAGTTCTAGTTCAGTTCTAGTTCAGTTCTAGTTCAGTTCTAGTTCAGTTCTAGTTCAGTTCTAGTTCAATTCTAGTTCAGTTCTAGTTCAGTTCTAGTTCAGTTCTAGTTCAGTTCTAGTCCAGTTCTAGTTCAGTTCTAGTTCAGTTCTAGTTCAGTTCTAGTTCTAGTTCAGTTCTAGTTCAGTTCTAGTTCAGTTCTAGTTCAGTTCTAGTTCAGTTCTAGTTCAGTTCTAGTTCAGTTCTAGTTCAGTTCTAGTTCAGTTCTAGTTCAGTTCTAGTTCAGTTCTAGTTCAGTTCTAGTTCAGTTCTAGTTCAGTTCTAGTTCAGTTCTAGTTCAGTTCTAGTTCAGTTCTAGTTCAGTTCTAGTTCAGTTCTAGTTCAGTTCTAGTTCAGTTCTAGTTCAGTTCTAGTTCAGTTCTAGTTCAGTTCTAGTTCAGTTCTAGTTCAGTTCTAGTTCAGTTCTAGTTCAGTTCTAGTTCAGTTCTAGTTCAGTTCTAGTTCAGTTCTAGTTCAGTTCTAGTTCAGTTCTAGTTCAGTTCTAGTTCAGTTCTAGTTCAGTTCTAGTTCAGTTCTAGTTCAGTTCTAGTTCAGTTCTAGTTCAGTTCTAGTTCAGTTCTAGTTCAGTTCTAGTTCAGTTCTAGTTCAGTTCTAGTTCAGTTCTAGTTCAGTTCTAGTTCAGTTCTAGTTCAGTTCTAGTTCAGTTCTAGTTCAGTTCTAGTTCAGTTCTAGTTCAGTTCTAGTTCAGTTCTAGTTCAGTTCTAGTTCAGTTCTAGTTCAGTTCTAGTTCAGTTCTAGTTCAGTTCTAGTTCAGTTCTAGTTCAGTTCTAGTTCAGTTCTAGTTCAGTTCTAGTTCAGTTCTAGTTCAGTTCTAGTTCAGTTCTAGTTCAGTTCTAGTTCAGTTCTAGTTCAGTTCTAGTTCAGTTCTAGTTCAGTTCTAGTTCAGTTCTAGTTCAGTTCTAGTTCAGTTCTAGTTCAGTTCTAGTTCAGTTCAGTTCTAGTTCAGTTCTAGTTCAGTTCTAGTTCAGTTCTAGTTCAGTTCTAGTTCAGTTCTAGTTCAGTTCTAGTCAGTTCTAGTTCAGTTCTAGTTCAGTTCTAGTTCAGTTCTAGTTCAGTTCTAGTTCAGTTCTAGTTCAGTTCTAGTTCAGTTCTAGTTCAGTTCTAGTTCAGTTCTAGTTCAGTTCTAGTTCAGTTCTAGTTCAGTTCTAGTTCAGTTCTAGTTCAGTTCTAGTTCAGTTCTAGTTCAGTTCTAGTTCAGTTCTAGTTCAGTTCTAGTTCAGTTCTAGTTCAGTTCTAGTTCAGTTCTAGTTCAGTTCTAGTTCAGTTCTAGTTCAGTTCTAGTTCAGTTCTAGTTCAGTTCTAGTTCAGTTCTAGTTCAGTTCTAGTTCAGTTCTAGTTCAGTTCTAGTTCAGTTCTAGTTCAGTTCTAGTTCAGTTCTAGTTCAGTTCTAGTTCAGTTCTAGTTCAGTTCTAGTTCAGTTCTAGTTCAGTTCTAGTTCAGTTCTAGTTCAGTTCTAGTTCAGTTCTAGTTCAGTTCTAGTTCAGTTCTAGTTCAGTTCTAGTTCAGTTCTAGTTCATTTCTAGTTCAGTTCTAGTTCAGTTCTAGTTCAGTTCTAGTTCAGTTCTAGTTCAGTTCTAGTTCAGTTCTAATTCAGTTCTAGTTCAGTTCTAGTTCAGTTCTAGTTCAGTTCTAGTTCAGTTCTAGTTCAGTTCTAGTTCAGTTCTAGTTCAGTTCTAGTTCAGTTCTAGTTCAGTTCTAGTTCAGTTCTAGTTCAGTTAAGTTCTAGTTCAGTTCTAGTTCAGTTCTAGTTCAGTTCTAGTTCAGTTCTAGTTCAGTTCTAGTTCAGTTCTAGTTCAGTTCTAGTTCAGTTCTAGTTCAGTTAAGTTCTAGTTCAGTTTAGTTAGTTCAGTTCTAGTTCAGTTCTAGTTCAGTTCTAGTTCAGTTATAGTTCAGTCTAGGTCAGTTCTAGTTCAGTTCTAGTTCAGTTCTAGTTCAGTTCTAGTTTAGTTCTAGTTCAGTTCTAGTTCGGTTCAAGTTCTGTTCTAGTTCAATTATAGTATAGTTCTACTGGTCTTTTATTGAAAATAAGATTTTTAGCAATAAAATGTATCATTAACTTAAATTTTGACGTTTCACTAAAACTTTTATTATACAAATACTAATGTTTCACTAAAATTAAATCTGATCTGATTTCTGACGGTTTCAAGAAGTTCGTTTTAATAAAGTTTTACTGTATATAAAAATAGTTTGCTATATGTATAACACATTATTTTCTATAATCTAATCTAGATTATAACGTTTTTAAGATAAATGAAACATTGTTATTACCAGATTCTGTTGGAAAAAAACAAAAATATTTTAAAAAGTCTTTATAACTACTGCCAATAACATACCAGCTAAAATATAAAACGAAATTTTTATGCAGAATAAGTTTCCTTTACTTTATTCACTGAACATTTTCAATAAAAATTTTTTCCAAAAGTCTGGATTTGAAATACCTTTGCATTAAACCACTGTGCCTATCATATGCATTTAACAATTGCTCTCATTTTGTTTTCCTTTGTATGTTAATGATGAATACAACAATCTTTAATACTATTAACAATTGTTCCCCTTAAGTGATTGCACAACAAACATTATAATCATCACCAAAATCATCATCATCGCCACTTAAATGTTTTATTTCACGGATTGTACATAGTATGTAAACAAAAGAACATTAGAACTACGTCATGCATGTTTTTTAAGATAATCAAGGCACGAATGTATAGATGGATGGTTGGTTGGTTCGTTGCTTAATAGTGATATCGATTTTCACAGTTAAAGAATAAAGTCGTAGCACAACACATACACATAATTTAAAATAATTTTTTAATGAAGAAAATTAAAGAAGACAACTTACCAATTTGGGATCATGTTTCCATTCACCATCAACACAGAATTTATATTGATGATCTCCTTCGGGCAAATCGATAATGGTAACAAAATTGCCATGACTGCGTACCATGGGTATGGGCTTCCACTTGGTAAATGTACCAGAAATCATAACATTCTGGCCACCGCCATCCCAGCGTAAAACGGTAGGTAATGCAGGATTACGCAAATCTTCTTCATCCTGTTGTTGCTGCGTCTTTTGCTGGGACTCATCGTTTGCTTCCGCAGCAGCGGCGGAAGTATCTTTATGTTGGGGCATTATTTGAGTTGTAGTTGAGGATATTGATGAAGTTGTAGTACCTTCCGATATAGTACTTGAGCGTTTGCGCGGTTCAGTCGAACTAAACTCAGGGTCGACAGCGGCAGCAGCTGTTTGTTGTTGCTGCTGCTGCTGTTGTTGTTCGTTCGCTGCTTTGCCAATTGGTTTTGTATAATAGGGTTCGGATGTTGTTTCGTCGTCTTCTTGTGACGAGCCACCGTGTAAAACTGAATCACGCTTTTTGTCAAACGTGAATGCCTGTCCACCACTGACAGCCGCTATACCCTGTGCCGTTGAGCCACCCTCACCTCTTAGGGGCAATTCACGAAACGGAGAATTTGGTGTAGAGATGTCGCTGGACTTGTGGCGTTCTCTATGCATACTAGTGCTACCAGCATTACCCATTTTTCTTTTGTAGATAAGTTATTGGAAACAAATATAAATAAAACTTCTCAAATTAATCATCAATTTATTACATATGGACGTTTACGTTTTTTTCTTTTATTTTTCAGTTACAAGTTAATTGGCACTTTTATTTAGTTGGTTTCGTGTGGCAGCTTTTCATTACTAGCAAATTTTTCATGAATTTCATAAAATTATTGTCGTTTTTTAGGAAAATTTCATAAATTACGTTTCTTATTTCAATGTCACAAAGAAGGAAATTTTCTTTTTGATAAAATTTTTTCTTATTTTTCTTATGTCTATCAGTTTTATTATTTCGCACGCTGTTTTCTTTTTCGTTTCTCTGTGTAAATACTTGTTTACCTTCGTTTCTTTTATTATGGCAAACAAAGAATTTCAAGAAAAATAACAAGGAAATCAAAATGAAAACAAAATAAAGAACAGCTGTTAAAACAGAGTTGTTATGTGGATGAATCACCAATGTTATCATTTTATTGTACATGACATTTAAATAAAAAGCGGCATTTATTTTTGTAAATAAACGTGTTTTTATGTTAAATTTTAACAAATAAAATCGTAGTTTTATGTGTTAAAATGCCTATAAATTGTAAATCTAATTGTGGCAACAAAGCAGTGTTAAAGGTATTTTATTTGTTTTATTACTGTAAAGTTTTTATTTTAAAAATGTCCATGTATTTTTTTAAAGCGTCCCAAAACCGCAGATGCTTTATGCAAAGAATGTTTTTTTGCTGCCTTCGAGGCAGAAATTCATCATACCATCACTTCCAGTAATTTATTTCGACGTGGTGAAAAGGTTGCTGTAGCAGCAAGTGGTGGCAAAGACTCCACGGTTTTGGCTCATGTGTAAGTTGTATTTGACAATAATAATTTTTGGAGTTAGCCAAAATGTTAAAGAATTTTGTATTTACAAATGTATATGATGTCGGAATGACCTATGCTAAGTTCTTTGTTTATTAAACCATCCGTAAATTCGGCTGTACATGTAAGCTTTGTGTGTATAGACAATTTTTTGAAATTTGAACTCTGTGAAATTTGGACAATACTTGATAAAACTATGATTTCGTCTAGCCCACATATAAATTTCTACTGGAAACTGGTCACTTAACTCATTAAGAATATATACATATATCTATCGTAATGGATAAACTTAGGAACTACGGCACACTAATCATAAACAAATTTTACTTTCAGCCTAAAACTACTCAACGAACGTCACGATTATGGTCTAGATCTAGTGCTTTTGTCCATAGATGAAGGCATCACCGGTTATCGCGATGATAGTTTAGAGACTGTAAAACAAAACCGCGATGACTATCAAATACCTCTGAAAATTCTGTCATACGAAGAACTTTATGGTTGGACCATGGATCGTATTGTTGCGCAAATAGGTCGTTCCAATAACTGTACATTTTGTGGTGTATTCCGTAGACAAGCCTTAGATCGAGGAGCCAAATTACTGGAGGTCGATAGTATAGCTACTGGTCATAATGCCGATGATATAGCAGAGACAGTGTTAATGAATATTTTACGTGGCGATACGGCACGTTTAAGACGATGCACCGACATTAAGACGGGCGGCAGTGAAGACTCTATACCGCGCGTAAAGCCTCTCAAATACACCTACGAAAAGGAGATTGTAATGTATGCTCATTATAAGAAACTAGTGTATTTTTCCACCGAATGTGTCTTTGCCCCCAATGCGTATCGTGGTCATGCCAGAGCTTTTCTCAAAGATTTAGAGAAGGTTAGACCGTCGGTAATAATGGATATAATACATTCTGGAGAACAATTGAGATTTAAGGATACCGTTAAGAAGCCGGTAAGGGGTATATGTGAACGTTGTGGTTTTGTATCCTCCCAACAGCCTTGCAAGGCTTGCGTGTTGCTAGAGGGTCTAAATCGAGGTTTACCTAAATTGGGTATTGGTAAGAAATCGAAAGGTGAACGTATGATAGCTGACCAGGAGAAAGAATTGGCTTTGAGAGAAAAGGCAAATTTGGTTAAGAATGATTTTTGATAAAGAGAAATAAATAAGAACTCGAATTAAAATTTTGTTTGTTTTCTTTGAAATTTATTTTGTTATAATTTTTCAACTATTTATAAAGAACAAGGTTACTGCAGCAATTTAGGTTTTAGGAGATAGTCGGTACAAATTGATCTCGTTGTAATAGTGCAGCAATTACTTTTGTTGCAATTAGAAGCTTTCCGTATATGTTGTTGTGAGTGCCAAGATTCTTAATAGATTTTCTGAAAAAAAAATAAGAAAAAAGTTATAAATTTTTTGGTTTTTCATTTGTCTATTTAGTTAGTAATGTAATTAAGTTTTTATAAAGCTCAGTGCCAATATCTAACCATAGTCCAAAACTGATTAAAACAAGACTCCCTTATTCCAAAAGAATATTGAAACAGTTTGTCAGCGTTTTAATCTTGTTATTGGTGTCTGTGAATGGTTTAAGTAATCATCATTGAAAGACAAATAAAACTTAAATTTTACAACTTTTAAAGAAATAATTACCTTTTTTTAAAAATGATGACAATAAGCAGCCGCAGAGGGATTTCAAAAAGTTCTCTTAGGAATTTATTTGCAAACTGAAATTAAGATTTTGATATGTTAAAAATTTTGTGATTAAAGTTGTAATAAGCAAGAAAATGTTAATTTTTAAAAATTGTACATTTCATGAAAAAAATATGCTCCGCAAATTTGGGTAATAAACAATTTGGGTATTGCTTGGATGAAATGAAATTTTTCTGCGAATTTTTTCTAGCACTATAAAACAGTTGTAAGTATTCTGTTAAATAGCGACTCAAAATTCGCTTGCTTTTGGAATTTTTAAGGAAAAAATACAAACCTTTTAAAATTTTCTGGTTTTATGAAAACTTTACACGTTTCCTCTCTACAGGTTATCACTGCAAATAAAAGAAAACTACAAGTTAAAATTTGTCTTTTTTTTTGGAATTTATATACAAATTATTTGTGTTAAAGTAACATCAGTCAAAGTTTATATTTAAAATCAATTATATTATTCATAAGAGATGTCAGAAATATTATAAACAAATCATCAGTGCCTTTATAAAGAAGAAAAACTAAGTACTATTGTAATTACCTTGTTCATAGAACCAGCAATACTTTCAGCTGACATCTTCCTTTTAGCTTCCCAAAACATAAGGTTAAAACTGTAAAAAATAAAGAGATTTTACTTTAGTATTTTATTTAATTAAAAATATACATTAAAAAAATATTTTTGTATTATTATCAGTTAAAAGTTTATATAAAATCAAGAATTTTTCATAAGAGATGTCAGAAAATTTTAAAACTTATTCATCAGTGCCCTACTTTGGAATATAAATATATTTGGAATTAAAACTTTAATTACCTTTTCAGCTAAAGCCTTTATTTAGACATAATTGTGCAATTGGCCTGTAATCACATCAAATGCTGCCATTTCTGACATTGGCGGCGTAGTCACATTAGATCACATTTTGTTTAGCAAAATCTGTAAATATGAAAAAAGGTTTTGTTAAAAAAAAATAATTAAATAAAACTGCATAATTTTTATATTAAATTTAAAGAAAAATTTTAAAGTTTTGTACATTTTGCAATAAAAATATGCTCCGCAAATTTTGTTAAACTCAATTTGGGTATTGCTTGGGCGAAATGTAATTTAATCTGTGAGTTTTGTTATAGCACTTTAAAACAGTTTAAAATTTTCTGCTAAACAGCGACTCTAAGCTCACGTCTTTTAGGAACCAATACGGAATACAATTGTTATTAAATTGGAATGTAATGAATATACTTTCCCTTCCAATGTTTAGGATAATGACAAAATTATTTTCTACTTTTCACAGTATTTGTTAAAACAGTTTTACTGTAGCCAAAAGTTCATTCCTGACAAACATTAGCCGAGTATGACATAGGGTCGTTCTAGAGTAAAGATCTTTTTGTCGTGGGAACGGATCACAGCATTTAAGTTTTTGTTCAAGATTCCTTTCAGCTATTTCACGACGACCATCCATCCCAATGGTTGGTTAAATTGCTAGAACATTCGTTTATATGTATGTATATTTTCAGTCATACCAAAGTGTGTTACTCCATATCTAGTTTTAAAATCACATTTTTCTTACAAATTAATAACTCTATTAAAAATTTCTTCTAAATAAACACACATTCCAAAATAAAACTCCCAAATGCCTCGCTTTATACGAAAAAAAAATTGTTGCGCAAGTCTCTAGACCACATAGCCTTAAGATTTTTCAATTGAACCAGCAGCCATATGGCGATAAATAACGCAAACTTGCTCTAGCAGCAAAGAGTTCTACAATCTTGGGTAATTATATCCCAAAACCATAGTTATAAATCACTGCTTACTTATTACTGTTAAATCGCATATTAATTATTAGCTTATAACTGCCAGGAACTTTCTTTTGTAAAACAAAAATATCTCTTACGTACAATTAAAAGCTATTTAATCTGGCGAACCGTTTGTCTTCTATTAGATTTGTAATATCTAACAAAAGTATAAATATTTCGCCAAATACATAAAAATTCTACATAACCTTAAATAAAACTTACCATATTTCCTTAAACAGCATTGAATTTATTGAAAATAAGTTTGTAGACATTATAAACATGTATTTTGTTTTTCATTTGATCACACATTTTTTGTGGTATTCGGTAAAGATGTTTTGGTTATTTAAAGATTCAATTACAACTTCTTGGATTGAAAGCAAAATATAAAATGAATGATGCAGCTTGTAAAACGGAAACAGCTAAATGACATTTAAACATGTAGAGTTGCATTTGCAATGCAATTCAAGTTATATTTGACATATAGGTGGCGCAGAAAAGTGTTACCAAATTTAGGAAATGTCAACACTGGGAAAATTACTTTATATATGTACCAATTTTTAATTGTAAACTTCTATCAGACTTCTAGTCTGATAGCATTATTGAAAATTCGGATCTGGCGAATATATGCGGTCTTCTAAAAACTGATTTCAACATACTTACGGACGAACAGACGGACCTGGTCAAATCGACTCCACTATCTATGAAGATTCGGAATATATATTCCTATATTTATATATATTATTATATAATAGGGTCGGAAAGTTATATTATATTATAAAATTGTATTGTAATACAAAGAGAATTACTCTTCTCACGTAAATGATGATTACAATAAGTCAAAAAAAGAACATAGTCGACAGAAATCTAAAAATAATCTAAAATTCTGTATTAAAAATGTTTAAAAGTAGAAAATTTTAAAATTGTAAAGAGAAAAAGTTGACGTTTTATACGTTTTTTGCTGAAAGTTGACTTATAATATGTACTAGGGTTCTATAAATCGACTTTCGAATAATCGAACAATCGACTTTTTGTCGAAAAAAGTCAAAAAGTCGAAGTCGACTATTTTGTTCCAAAAAAGTCGATAACTCGACTATCATCTATGAAAAAAGTCGACTTTGTAAATAAAAGTCGAAAAAAGTCGAAAAAAGTCGGAAAAAGTCGAAAAGTCGAAAAAAGTCGAAAAGTCGAAAAAAGTCGAAAAGTCGGAAAAAGTCGAAAAGTCGACCATTTATAAAATACTAAAAGTCGAAAAGTCGAAAAATCGACTTTTCATAAAGTGGAAAAAGTCGAAAGGTCGAAAATTCGACTTTTAACTAAATGCAAAAAGTCGAAAAGTCGACTTTTCGTTTGAACTATAGACCCTAATATCTACTTTAGAACCCTATTTTACAATACTTATTCTGACATAAACTTGGCAACCTTAAACAAACGGTACATTTAAAAAAAAGGTTCTAAAAAAATTGCACTTTTTTTACAGATTGTTTGCGTTTGTTTTTTTTTACTGCGAAAAAGACAAAATCCTTAGCAGGATGGCCTTAAAAATAGATGAAATCATGGACTTGTCCTTGGGTAAGTAACTGCAGTTAATAAAATATTGATTATAAATAAAACTGTGTAAATATTTTATAATTAGATGATTACATTGCCATTTCGAAAAAGTCCACAAACAATAATGCCGTTACAAACCACAGCAACAACAACAACAATAATCATGAAATGAACAACAAGCTCAATGATGCGAAGTTTGGTCGCCGAAAAGGCAATATAGACGACGAGGAGGAAGATGAAGATGAACTTTTGATTACAACAACTAAGGAAGAGTTAAATGAGGATGTGGTTATAGAGGAAATTGACACGGGTATTTGGAAAGGTCCCGATTCTTCTATATCCTATTTAGATTGCAATTCTCAGCAAAATGATCTAAGGGATAAACTAAATAGCAGTAATAATAGAAATGGCAATCTACAAGTCAGCTCGGTGCAATATCGCATGATGGCACCCAACAATGCGGCCAATAGACCACGTGGTATTCCTACACTACTGCCATTAGATGTGCAGGTGAATAATAACAGAAACTGGATAAACTATAGAAACAATAGAAAAGGTAATCGTGGAGGAAATCGTGGTTACAATAATTTTCGCAGAGGATTTAATAATAATGGTGGTGGTAACAACTTTAATGAATCCAATGTTAGTTCTGGTGTGGGAGGTGTTATTAATGGTCGTGTTCAAAGGAATCGTAAACAGGATTTTGAAAGGTTTGTAGGGTTTAGATTCATTTTCGTTACCAAACACATACTTTAATAAGAATTTTATTAAATATTTTATTTTTGTAAAAATATTCCCAGCAAAAATCTTCGTTTCTCTGTGGGCAGAAACAATAACAACAACAGCCCTAATCAAAATTCTAACACTGGCATACATAAGCCAGCACAAAACATGATTATTGAAACTCCCAGTAATTATATAAATCTAGTACCCAGTCCACCATTAAATTCTAGTTTTAAGATTCCCCAACATTCAACACCTGAACGCAGTAATAACACTAGTGGTGGCTCACAATCATTTCCAATTGGCAATTTAACTCCTCAAGCTGAAGCAGCTTTAAATTTAAATTCAAGTGTTATACAAAACTCAACAGCTGTATCACCTACTGGTAGCAGTAATGAAAGTCTGAAGAGTTTGTTGGGTTTCCAGGGAAATGTTTCGGGTGAAATGATGCCAGTCTTTGCTTCGCGTTTAATGGATTTCCTTCAAAGTGGTTTACAGAATCCAGCCGTTCATAAACCGGTGTATGATATGAAAATTCAAAAGGATATACATGAAATACAGGTAATATTTAAATCAGTGTAGAAAATTTTCTAAAAAAATTTGTCTATTTCTGTGATTCTAAAATTTATTTAAAATGTGTTTCTAGGATACTTTGTTTATGACCGATATTTTGTCTCTAAAATCATTTTATAGACTTTACCTTCTATTTGTTTTATTTCTTTTACAGAAAAAACCTTTACTTTATAAATGCCCTGGCGGTGAAGTTGTTAGTTCTGATGGTGCTGGTGTAAATTGCAAAATTATACCACGTACTAGTGGTGTATCATTAAATTGTCGCTTTGCTTAATGTAACTAACGTCTTATGTTTAAAAGTTTTGATACTCGAATGAATTTCTTATTTTATTATTTTCTTAACTTTATGAAGATTTTTGTTTATGAACAAAATGTTTTTTATTATATAAATGCTCGATGCATTTTAAAGTATAATTTTAAAAAATATAACTGTAAGAAATACAATTGAATTGAATTTCTATTTAATTTTATCATTAAAATATTTTTTTTTTTAATTCTTAAATAAATGCCGCATAATTAAAAAACTTGAATTGCATTTTTGAATGTTTATTAAGTTTTTTTTAGATTAGGTATGAATTTTGGAATAAATTTATTTGTTAGTGATGAATATTCTAACAAACTTCAATTTACATATAATTTATATCTTGCTAAACTAAAAGTTATTACTAATTTTTATGTTAATATAATTTAGGATCTCCTCATGCTTAGCATAGTGTTAATTTCCCAAACAATAATACGAGTACGATCAATAATCTCTCTTAATTGGCGATTTTTCAATTTTACTGTATCGATAAGTTCTTGGTTTTCTTGCAAAGCTTTACGGTACTCTTCGCATTGAGTGCCCTCCAAATTGCGATGATCAGTCTCATCTTTATAAGGTATCAAACTTTCGACATGAGTATATTCCATACCTTGAATTAAAAAAAAAAAATAGTTTTATAATGATTTGGCTAAGGACAGAAGCATTAACAACTTACCCTGTGGATAACCATCACTGCAACGTTCATAGATTAAACGCATGCGTTTGAATAGTAACCGAATGGTACGAAAATGTTCTTGTACCTTTTTCACGGTGCCATTGTCACGACTTGATGTAGGTTGTATGACTTTAAGAGCCGTGAATATCTCTTGAAATCTAGAGGTTATATCTTGTACTGTTTCCTGTCCAACGCGAGATAAAGTAACAATATTGATTTCTTTGTGAGGCTGTTGAGATATGGATAAGACATTATTTGATGAGGGTTGTGATTGCTGTTGTTGCTGCTGCTGATGTTGACCGGATGTCTGAGGCATTTGTTGAGACTGAGTTTGAAGAGAAGGCTGTTGCAGTTGTCCAGCTGGACTTTGTTGTGATGTTTGCTGCAAAGACTGTTGTTGTTGAGCCAACATAGCATTCATATTTGAACCACTGGGTCCACCTTGCATTTGGTGCCCTTGTTGCATGCCAACATTCTGCTGCATTTGTTGTTGCTGTGGCATTAAGTTACTTACTTGCGGACTACCGGCACCACCACCACCGCCAGCTCCACTTGCACCCACCATTCCCACATGTCCTGCCATACCCATTGTCATTTGTGGTCCCATGGGACCCATTTGTTGTTGCATTTGTTGCTGCTGCATGAGTTGTTGTTGTACATGTGAAGGAGACTGCATACCTACAGGATTCATAACACCCGGTCCCATGCCGCCTGCACCAACTGAACCAGCCATGCCTTGCATGCCCTGCTGTTGCATAGGATTGCCTTGTTGGGGCATCATACCACCTTGACCATAACCTCCAGCACCACCCATAGACATCATGCCTCCTCCACCAGGACCACCACCAGCTCCTGGCATCATACCGCCAGCGCCGGTTGAACCTCCCATTTGCATTTGATTCATTAACTGTTGTTGCTGCTGTTGTTGTTGTGGATTAAATTGGCCACGATGGCCCGCCAAAGGATTATTATAACCACCTGGATATTGACCAGACATTATTGTGTTGAATTTTTATTAGAAATTAAATAATTTCGTAGACTTTTGCGAAATTTCTATTGCTGAAACAACAAAAAATTGTTGTAAACTGGAAACAGTGTTGTTAAGTGTTATTGTAAATTATAAACAGTGCTGTTAAGTGTTTGGAAATGTTAAACTGTAAAAGAATTAATTCACTACTTTGCTAGAAAAGAAAATAAGGAAACAACATGCAAAAACAAAATGTTCTTGTATATTTTTGTAGGTGATTTTTAAAATTCATTAAATTTTACATAAAAATCTATTTTTGTAAATTTTTTGGAGTGAGGCTTTTACGGTTTACCAGGCGATATTTAAACACAAACAGTTAAAACCGCTTAATGGCGCTAGAAAAAAGCTTCGTTAACAACACTAACAGCTGTTTGTAAAAATTTGTTTTTGTTTTTTTTTTCGCGAGCCGGGAGTTTTTTGTTTGTTTTTGATACACAACAACGTGTAATTATTAAATTTCTATTGAATTTTTAAAAATCAATATGAATAAGCGTGAAGATGCTCTTAGAGAGGTAAGTTAATAAAAACAATTTAAAATGCTTTAGTTAGAGCTCCATTAATCCATAACCTTTCCAAAAAAAAAGGCTTTACAAAAAAATGAAGAAGAAACTCAACGTTGGCAAAACTATCTGAAGGAAAATGAAACAGCCATCGAAAATATGGCCATGTTTGGTAAACGCCTAACTGTGGATGTTATGGTACCAATTGGCAAAAAAGCCTTTATGCCGGGACATTTGCTGCACACGAATGAGGTTTTAGTTGGTCACTATCAGGGTTATTTCTCGAAATGCACCACTTTTAAGGCGAAAGAGATTTGTGATTTACGCATTAAAATGGCTAAGGAACATTTGAAGAAGTTGCAAACAGAAGCTGATTTATGGCAGTAAGTATATAGTTATAATGAAATTGATATTTTTGCAATTATATAGTTTATGTCCATTGTACCTATTGAAATGTTTAATTTAATTATTTTAGAAACAAACTGGATAAACCTTATGCCGAAGGCGTTATGCCTAGTGGTGAAGAACGTGAAATTATTGAAGATTTCAATGAAGAAGAGGAAAAATTATGGAAAGAAAAACATAGAATTCGCGTTAAACAGGCTAAACAAAAGGAACGCGAAGAAAGAGAAAAAGAATTACAAAAAGGAAACTTGAAAACTAAAAAAGTTCCTGAAGATAAAAGTGATGAAGAAATCTTCAAAATGTTAGAAGAAGCTGAGTTAATGGAAGAATTAGAACAAGAGCTGGACAAGCTAGAAGTAGATGAAGTCAATGATGATACAATAAGAAAGCTAATGTCAGGAGAAATGAAATTACCACAAGAAAAAAAGAGATTAGCTCATGATAAAAAAGACAGCGAAGAAAAAACTAACGAAGAATCAGGCCTTCGCAACAATATAGTGAAAAAGAATGATTTAAATAAAAATAATCAGATAAATACAAACAATAATGTACAACCAAATCCAGAAATAACGAATTTAGTAAATTCCCAAGAGGAAGATGACACCGAATTAGATGAGGAACCTTTACCCGAGGAAGTGACAATGATTAAAGAACAGGCTAAATTTCTTAATGCAGAAGATCAAATAGGTTTCTATGAATATCAAATAGAAATAATTAGACAAAAACTACAGAATTTGCCATTACGTACACAAAAAGAACTGGATGAAAAGATACGTTTGCTAAATGTTTTGGAACATTTGGAAGAACTACTAGAAATGGCTGAAGAGACAGTGGGAAACGAAGAATTGGCAGAAAAAGACTCCGAAGTGGAAGAGGACAGGGAAGAAAATGAACAACAGCCAGAAAATAAAGAACAAATAGTTTCAACAACCATACCTACAACACCAACAGCAAGTGAAGCAAATAAAACTAATCAAAAACGTCGCATATCCTTCGCCTTAGAGGATCAAACGTTAGAATTTAGAAAACATGAAGCTGTTACACAAATGTTACCACCTAAAACGGAAAAACCCAAACGTGATATTATAAAACTAGATGATAATGAAGAATTAAACAAAAATTCGGAAGTTATTAAAGCTCCTTTAGATAAAAAAGAACTAATACAAGCTAAAGTTGATAAAAATTTACAATTTGTTGCCGAAAATCAAAGTAAACAAGATTTTGATTTAGTACAACAGATATTACAATCCTCTATGGGTGAAGTTAATACATTATACATCAAATTTAAACATTCTCAACAAGAATCATACAAAAGAGATAATAAGGTTTCATCAGATATACCCGCCTCTCCAGCAGATTTCTATGATTTACATAAAAAGGCTTTAGAAACTGAAACTGAACCCTCAACTTTGTTTATAAATAGTTATGAGGGCGAAGATCAAGTTAGGACCCCCGTACTAAAGGAAGCAGACCGACAAGCAGCATTTGCAGATCCCAAAGCAGAAGTGAGTTGTGGTTTTGTGTTATTTTATATACATTTTCTTAATATCTTTTGTAATTTATTGCAGTTTTCCAATCCTTCTTTACAAGCCAAACCTATACTGAAAAATAAATCTGCTGTTGATAAAGAAAATCATTTAAAGGATTTACAACAGGATAATATTAATAAAAATAAGAAATCAAAGAAAAAATCGAATAAGAAAGAGGAAGATAATTGCTTTAGTGCTTATAACAAGGTAAATAAATATATTGATACTAATTACTTAAAACAATCAAGTTTTATTTAAATATTAATGTCATCCTTATTTTAAACATTTTAAGGTCATGAATGATGTTGTTGAAAAACCTTTAACAGAACCTGAACCTCTGCCTGATGTTAAATTCATTGATGCTCATACACCCAAAAAACGCATCAGTCGTTTTAAACAAATGCGCCAAGGAACAGATAAAACATAATTTTACTTTTTGTTTTTTTTTGTTTGTTTATTTTCGTTTTCTTTTTATTATCTTAAAATCTTAAACAAATTTGTATATTTTTCAAGCATTATAATAAAGTTTAACTTTTCTACTTTAATTTTTATTTTATCTCATTTAAATTCAAAAATTTCTTATATACATTAACATACGAGTGAATGTATATTCTATAATTACAGTATAATTCTTAAAATCAAGTAGTTGTTGTTAACACACTGCAATACATACATAAATTATTAATTATAAAAAAAAAAAACGGCGAAAACTTTTTTGTTAAAAAATTACAATTTCATTTATACATTTTTAGTATAATTCAACTTTTTTTCTTATTATAATAATTATAATAAGCCAACAAGTAGTGTCCATAAAATAGAAATTTGTTAAAAGTTTGCTTAATCTTCAAGTCCTAAAAATTCTCTTTCTAAAGCAGCACCCATCATATTCCAATCGCCATCGTCTTCTTCATCCGGATTATTGCCATCACTGTCATCGTTGGAATCGGAACCCATTTCTAAATCAGAAGGTAAATTGCCACCTTGAAAAAAAAAAGAATTATTATTTTAATTATGTTTCAATTAGTTTAGTAAAATATACCTCTTCGAAATTTTTCACTTGGCATTTCATCTT